TCTTATTCTAGAATCCATTCAGAAACACAAAGGACTAAGAACTTCCAAGGATATTTGAAAGCAGATTAATAAATCTGAAAGACTTAACATGATCAGACATCAAGGTTTATTATGAAAAGATAATGTGACATCAACACAAGCATTAACTAAATAGCCAATGAAACTCAATAGCGAATCCTGAAACAGACACAGCTATATGTGGTTAATGGCTAATGTGGCCCTACAATGCAATGGGGAAAATGTTGCATTTTTCAACAAGTAGTTTTGTATTAACTAGTGCATTAGTCTTCTATGGCATCATAAAAAAAATCACCATACATGTGCTGGCTTAAAACAATCCTAATTTATTGCTTACCTTTTCTGCAGGTACTGATACAGGTGAGCTGGGGCCTTTGTTCAAGGCCTCACATAGGAGGATGCACAGGAGCTGATGGTCAGGGCTGGAGACTCATTTAAGGCTCTGGGTCATGGTTGTTGTTGGAATTCACTTCCTTTTGGTTGTTGGGTTCAAGCCCTCATTTGATAGAGATTGCTATCCCCTCACATGTGGGCCCCTCTCCAAAATAGAAGTACACTCATTCAAAGTCAACAGGAAAATTTCTCTCACACTTTGGAGCTCTTCCTTCAAAAAGGGCAAAGGCCTTCTGAAGAGCTCATCTGATTAGAACAGAGCCAGTTAAAATAATCTCCCTTCTAATTATATCAAAGTCAGCTTAATGACATCTGAAAAATCACTTTCCCTTTGTTCTGTAACATAGCCTAATCAGTCACCTATTCTATGGGAGGAGACTATGCTAGGCACAAAAGCCTGGAATCTCAGAGGGCATATCAGAATTTTCCATCACAATGAGATACCCCTAGAGACAAAAAAAAAAGTTAAATCCTTATCTCAAACTATAAACAAAATTCAATTCTTATCTTACCTTATAAACAAAAATCAAGGAATTGCAGATTTGGGGGAGGAGTCATGCTTTAACAAAAGTGGAGAACAGTACATTAGTGATTATGGTTTTGGCAAATAGCTCCTAAGACAGAAAAATAATACTAACAAAGAAAAATGATAAGCTAACTATTTCAAAGTTAAGAATTTCTGTTTATTAAATGCAAGCTACTCAGTCATATTTGATTCTTTGCAACCCCATAGACTAATATAGTCCATGGAATTCTCTAGGCCAGAATACTGGAGTGGGTAGCCTTTCCCTTCTCTAGGGGATCTTCCTGACCCAGGAATCAAACTGGGGTCTCCTGTGTTGCAGGAGAATTCTTTACTAGCTGAGCTATCAGGTAAGCCCTTCTGTCTATTAAAGCAGAATAAAAATACAAAGTATGAGAAGACATTTGTAATGTATATATACAACCAACAAAAGACTCTTGTATCTACAATATGTAAAGAATTCTTACAAATCACTATAGGAAACAGAAACTTCAGTAGTATATGGAAAAAATACTTGTAAAGGCAATTGAAAAAATATATGCAAATGACAAATAAGCACATGAAATGCACTCAACTTGATTAACAGAGAAATGAAAATAAAAAATACAATAAAACATAACACTCACTAGAGTGGCCAAAATTTACAAAAAGATTAAAATGTGAAGTATTACAGAGCATATGAATGAACTGGGAATATTACTGGAAAATGTTTTGTCCGTGCCTACTAAAACTGAACATACCCATTGTTGTGTACAGCAATCTCACTTTTACAGTTAATAAACATGTATCCAAACATATATGTAACATGAGATAAGCCAGCATGTTCCTAGCAGCACTATTCTCACATCCATAAAATGGAACTACTTAAGGGTTCTTCAGCAGAAGACTGGATAATCACAGTATATTTACTTAACAAAATAATATTCATAACAGGAATGAATGTTCTAAAATAATACACAGTAATGAAATAAACACCCAAACATAAAGTTTAACAAAATAAATGGCACAAAAGAAAGAGTGATTATATAATTTATATCCAGTACATCCAGGAAAACATCTACTTCTGCTTTATTGAATATGTCAAAGACTTTGACTGTGTGGATCACCACAAACTGTGGAAAATTCTTCAAGAGATAGGAATACCAGACCACCTGACCTGCCTTCTGAGAAATCTGTATGCAGGACAAGAAGCAGCAAATAGAATTGGACATGGGACAATTGAATAGTTCAAAATTAGGAAAGGAGTATGTCAAGACTGTATATTGTCACCCTGCTTATTTCACTTATATGCAGAGTACATCATGAGAAATGCTGGACTGGATGAAGCACAAGCTGGAATCAAGATTGTCTGGAGAAATATCAATAACCTCAGATATGCAGATGACACCAACCTTATGGCAGAAAGTGAGGAAAAACTAAAGAGCCTCTTGATGAAAGTGAAAGAGAAGAGTGAAAAAGCTGGCTTAAAGCTCAGTATTCAGAAAACTAAGATCATGGCATCTGGTCCCATCACTTCATGGCAAATAGATGGGGAAACAGTGGAAACAATGAGAGACTTTATTTTGGGGGGGCTCCAAAATCACTGCAGATGGTGACTGCAGGCATGAAATTGAAAGACCTTCCTCCTTGGAAGAAAAGTATTGACCAACCTAGACAGCGTGTTAAAGAGCAGAGACATTACTTTGCCAACAAAGGTCCATAGAGTCAAAGCTATGGTTTTTCCAGTAGTCATGTATGGATGTGAGCATTGGACTATAAAGAAAGCTGAGTGTGGAAGAATTGATGCTTTTGAACTGTGGTGTTGGGAAGACTCTTGAGAGTCCCTTGGACTGCAAGTAGATCCAACCAGTCCATTCTACAGGGAATCAGTCCTGAATATTATGGCAACCCACTTCAGTACTCTTGCTTAGAAAACTCCATAGGTGGAGGACCCTGGTGGGCTACAGTCATGGGGTCGCAAAGAGTCAGACATGACTGAGCGACTTCACTTTCTTTCGTTCATTCATTGGAAGGACTGATGCTGAAGCTGAATCTCTAATACTTTGGCCACCTGATGCGAAGAACTGACTCATTTGAAAAGACCCTGATGCTGGGAAAGAGCGAAGGCGGGAAGAGGAGATGACTGAGGGTGAGATGGCTGGATGGCATCACCGACTCAATTGGACAAGAGTTTGAGTAAACTCTGGGAGTTGGTGATAGACAGGGAGGCCTGGCATGCTGATGTCCATGGGGTGGCAAAGAGTCATATACAACTGAGCTACTGAACTGATCCAGTACATAAAAGAAAAAAAAACAGGCAAAACTAACCTATACTATTAGAAGTCACGATAAAGTTTACCCTTAAAGTATGCAAACAACTGAAGGAAAATGTGGGCAGATTTTTGAGACTTGGGTAATGTTCTTTTCCTTGAGCTGGATGCTATTTACAACAGTGTGTTAAGACTGTGAAAGATCTTTGAAAGGCACACTTCTAGAATATTTGCACTTCTATGTATATTACACACCAAAATAAACTTTTTTACAAATAGAACAGAATGCCTCCAATTGCATTTAATTTCCAAGTTCAAAATTAAAATAAAATGATGTTAAAGATATCAATTGCAACCAAAACAAACACACACAAAAAAGGTCAGAGTTACAATTTAAATATCAAGCTTTTATTTCAGGACAGAAAAACTAAACGAAAGAGACCAGTGAGTGCCTTTATAATAATAAATTTGAAATACACAATGGCTATCTAATAATTTTGAATATACAGGCAAAAAATAACACTATGTCATCCAAGATGGGCTTATAACAAGCTCTGAAAATTTGCATCTCCATAAAACCAACAAAAAAACGGCAACAATTCTCATAGTCAACACTTTCAGGACTCTGGAAATCAATCAAAGACTAGCTACAGTAATAAAAAAAATTGGTATGGTATTGCCATAATAATAGACATTGCAGTCCAATGAAATAGACTTGAGAATTTAAAAATAAACCCATAGACCCATGGCCAGTTGATTTTTGGCAAGCAAGGCAATACCTGTCAACTCAGACGAATAATCTCTTTAATAAATAGTGCTTAGATAACTGGACATCCACATTGAAAAGAATGACAGTGGACCCCCTGCCTCCACCATATACAAAAATTATCTTAAAACAAATCAATCACCTAAACATATTTAAATTTTGCAAGAAACTTGGGGGGAAAATAAGGAATGAATTAGGATTCCTATCTTAGGTCAAAAAGCTTCTGAGTTGAGAAACAAAGTTTATTGTTCAGCTCAGTTCAGTCACTCGGTCGTGTCCAACTCTTTGCCACCCCATGGACTGCAGCACGCCAGGCCTCCCTGTCCATCACCCACTCCTGCTCCCACTGGAGTAGCTGTGAGGAGATACCCCACACCCATTGGCAAATGAGAAGCCCCAGAAAGATGGTAGGAGAATGAAATTGCATATAGAATCTAACCCCATACCCGCCAGAGACACTCGAAGGGCTCAAACAAAACCTTGTGGGCACCAGGACCCAGAGACACCACAGAGACTGAGCCAGACCTACCTTTGAGTGTCTCCTGTGGAGGTATGGGTCAGCAGTGGCCTGCTGCAGGGGCTCTGGGTGCAACAGACCTGGGTATGGCATAAGCCCTCTTGGAGGAGGTCGCCATTAACCCCACCATAGAGCCTCCAGAACTTACACAGGACTGGGGAAACAGACACTTAGAGGGCACAAACAAAGCCTTGTACACATCAGGACCCAGAAGAAAGGAGCAGTGACCCTACCAGAGACTGACCCACATTTGCCCAGGAGTGTCCAGGAGTCTCCAGCAGAGGCATGGGTCTGCAGTGGCCTGCTACAGGGTCAGGGGCACTGAGTGCAGCGGTGGGAACTTTTGAAGGAGGTCACCATTATCTTAAAAGTTTATGGTATATAAACAAAGTCACTAAAGAACCGGCAGAAAATCTGACATAAACTCAGATCAAGGCACATCCTCCTAGGTATGTTTCAAAGCTCAGAAAACAGGAGGAAAGCTACATCACAGCCATAGTCTTCAGAACCAAAACCCAGAAACAGTAGGAATGGTCACAAGGAGGCGGCCAGTGACCCGGCCCAGGAGCAGCCCCGACGAGGGCAAGGACTCGCAGGCTCCAGTGCCCTGGGGCTGGGGCGGCCATCTCGGCCAGCGCCGTCTCCGCCGGGGAAGAGGAGACCCACACTGTCACCCCACTGCGGAACGCGCACACTCACCTCGCGCAACCTCCTGTCAACGAGGCACCTGCGGGCCGGCGTCTGATCAGGGCATTTGGTCAGGTGCAACCGCCTGAGGGCGGGCGTCAGGTCTGAGGCAGCGAGGCGCTGGGAGTTGGCCTTTGGTGCCACAGAGCGCAGCCTCCGGGGCTCGGCTGTTGTCGGGACCCCAGGTTTACAACTTGGGGCTTACCTCTGAGCCCTGGGTTTACATCGGGACCCCAGTTTATGGCTGAGCCTGCTTTACAACATGGGGGCGTTAGACAAGGGCTTTAGTCAGGTGAGGGGGTCCGGCTCCAGACCAGGCCCCGAGTTCCCACAGGCTCGTGCCCAACGGAGGGCCGAGGGGCGAGGTCCACAGAGGCAGAGGTGACCTTTCGCCAGCCCCAGAAGCTTCCCAGTCTCTGCCAGGCAGCTCAGGTGGGAAGGGAGCCGGTCTGACAGTAGTAACCCTGGCCTGAGTGGCTCTTCTGCCCTGCAGGCTGGGCTGTGGGCACCCGGGGCCCTCCAGTTTGCTTGGGTTTCCTTGAGGGCCCCTGTGATACCAGGATCAGTCGTTGTGTTTGTGTACTGTGTGTGTTAAGTATGTAGTTTATATAATACCTATAGTATATGTAATACCTATAACATTATAATGCTTATAGTATATATAGTGCATATATAATAGTTATATATAATACCTATAATATATATAATAGCCACTGTGATTCCAGGATCAATCGTTGTGTGTGTACTGTGTGTTTTAAGTGTGTAATTTATATAAGACCTATAACATTATAATACTTATAGTATATCTATAATATATAATTTTTATAGTACATGTAATAGTTATATATAATACCTGTAATATTATAATACCTATAATATATATAATACCTATCATATATAGTATATATAGTAGTTATATATACTTATGATATATAGTATATATTGTGCATATAATGTATAAACTGTGTGTACACATGTACATATAAATATTGTGTGTGTTAAACACACATTTATCAGAAAAGGAAACATTGTTTCCTAAATGTAGGAAAAGATGCTCAAACTCCCTTTTAATAAGAGAAATAAAAATTTTAAAACAACTGACAATTTTTCACCTAGTTAAGTGGTAAAGATGATAGATGAATAGATAGGTAGATAGACTTCCCACCAGAAAATAGGAAAACAGACTGTCTCATTTATTGTTCATGAAGGATAAATTGGCAGAACTCAGTGGAAGGTAATTTTTACAATACCCAGTGTGTGTTCACATATACACAAACATAAGTATGGAAATTACTTTGATCTAGCAGAATTTTTCTCCTTAGCAGTTATTTTGCTGATATTCTTTCACCTGTGGGAAATGAGGCATGCACAGATTGTTGCAGCATGGTTTATACAAACACAAATTGGATGAGACATAAATACCCATTAATGGAAGCCTTGTTAAATAAATTATGTACATCAATAAAATTGAGAACCCGGTAGGGAGCATTTAAAGGAAAGAGGCAGCTGTATATGTATTTTAAGTAAAACAGTAGGAATAGATGAATGTGTGTCTATGAGTATGTATGCTTGTAAATAAAAAAAATGTGAAATGAATAAAGCTTGTTACTTCTGAGGAGGAACATTGGATTGATGGGACAAATGAACTTCACAGTCTTTGTATACATTTGTGTATAACCTATTCTGCAGAATAAATATCGGAAAAGTAAAAAACACCCAAGTTAATAACAATGAGATGCTGTGCAGAGACTCTAGCCCAGGGCTCTAATCTCTGACTTTTCCTCTAACAATCTGTGACTTAATTAAGGTCAGTTCCTTAACACCTGGGCATCCTTATTCTTATCAGGTAGATGAAGAGGGGACTTATAAAGAGCATTTCAGCGATCATTTGATTTCCAGTCATCTATCAAGCCATTCATGTCATAAGACAGATGCAGCAATACCCAGTGTTTTATGGGTATTGTGGTTTTTTGGTTTTAATGTCTTTTTTTTTTTAACTGAAACCATCTTTATTGGTCAATATGCTTCCTGCAGTCTGGATGGAGGGAAGAGAGACTTTGCCCAAAAACTCCTTTTATTTTATTCATAATATCAGTCAGCTGCCATACAGACACTGCCTTCAGTTTCTCCTATATTCTAAAAGAAAGACAATAGTTCAATCAGAGTATTATTCCTCATTATGTAATTTTTCTATCAAAAGCTTGGGAGGGTTCTAAGTTCTATCTTGATTTGTTTGCTGCTTCATGCATATGTGCTGTAATTACATTCAAATTGACACCTTCAGAGTAAAAATTTTTTTTCTTCATGATCTCACTGCCTTAGGTAGTTTCTCAAAGTGTGCACACCCCCAAAATAAAGTTATGTGATGCTAAAAATGAATTCATTATGCGCAAATTGTTGCCTAGGAAAAGAGCCATTTAGAGGAAATCGCAGATGCACAGATTTGAGTGAACAACTGCTCATCATTTTCCAATTAGTTCTTGTCTCTGTGTGTTTTCAGTCTTTAATGCTGTACCTTTCTGTCTTCGCTTTTTTGTGTGGATTGTATGGCAGGCTTATTTCTCTGCCTTTGAGCTGCTGTTGAAAGGTTTATGGAATGTTATGCTTGTGGATGAAAGTCTATTGGCCCCACTCAGAAATCGGTTGAAAAGCTATCTTGTGTATTCAATTTGAATCTTAAACTATGGAGTAGAGGATCTGGTGAGAATGGCCTTGGTTTATCCACTGAGGTGTGTGGAAGATGAGTTTTGTGTGAGAGACTGAGGAGTGTTGAATATAGATAAAGAATAATCCTTGATTATTCGACTGACAGGAATACATGGTGAGGCTTGGGAGGCAGGGATTCTTAGGTCATCTACAATCATGTGTTTGCTTCCAGGACAGAAAATACTTCTATCCCCAAAAAGTGCTTTCTGATTGAAGAGATGCTTGGGAAACTCGGGTGACTGAATTGACTTCCAAGAAGTTGTCAAACATAGTACAGATGTTCTAGATTTATTTTAAGGGGCATGGGATTTTCACCCTATTGCCCATGCACTATACATGCCAGTAACACAAGGTGTTGCCAATAGTGCACTCAGTAAAATGCCATCACATTCAACATTTCATACCATCCATCTCAATACATACCCCTTATCTTCAAGTGTGACATATGGGCACTGAGCTCACATCTATGAAAGTACCCTGTGTGTATATGATGTACAACAGAAACTTTGCTTAAATCATGGGCAAATCCATAATGATAAGACAGAGAATATCCACAGAGAGAAGACCAGCTATGGACTAAGGACAAAGATCTTAAGGCACTGTGTTTGAGACTGTTTAGGGAACAGTGAGCTAACTGTTCAGCTGTTTCTTTGTCAGCACATACCTGCTAGGTTTCTGCTCCAGCCATGCACCACAGTGGGTGCTGTGATCCTGTGATTCTGCCATAACTTGATCAGTGGCACTGCAGCTAAGTAACTGATTGTACATCAGGCAGTAGAGAGATCTTTGATTAATCTCCTCCTGGTATGTTTAAAAGATGGAAAACCCCCTACGGGTTCCCGTTTGCTCTCCTTCTTCGCAGAGATCAGAGACAAATAGTTCCTTGCCGTGTTATTCTTGTCTGTGTAAAGAGGATTTGTACAAGAAAGTCCCTGGTGTAAACAGTATTGAAAACTTGTCTGAAGGATTAAAGCACCTCTAGTGATCTGCCCCCAGGACTGTCTTCTTGCAGGCTGCACTGATGATGCCAGGAGCAAGCTGCTTTGGATGGTGCTCAGCACCGGCATGGAAAATAAGTACAGACTGACACAGTACAAAATCAAGCTTTGCCTCCACATTTTAATGTAGATATAAAGGATGGCAGGCTCAAGATATTAGGATATATGCATAATGTATTAACTGAAATTAGATACAATGAGGTGTTTTTGGGGGGTTCATTGGGCATATTGAGCTATGTAAATGGGACTGTTAAGAATAGAGGAAACCAAAGCAAAGAGAAATCAAAGTATAGGCACAACAAAATACTAACACTTGAAAACACTTCAGAGTTTGTGGAAGTAGGATTCAGGATTTTTTCCTGCTACATCAGAAAAGTAGTTCAGTGTCATTTACTAGTTCCCAAACAGGAAATTTGGTTTGACTGTCATAATAATCTCTTCGGATCAGTGAATCGTTAACAACTTAATCCAGCAAAGCTCTGCTTTTATTTCCAGGCCAAGGTTAGTAAAGAATGTTTGACACTTAAGCTGGGACTCACTGGCAGTACTCTAATGCACTGACAACATTCTGAAGATTACAGATAAATCTAAAAATCACAGATAGAGCCCTGCCCAAGATGGCACCCATCTGTTCATCTTCTCTGCCCTCCAGAGTGGACAGAAGTCACTCACACGCCAGTCACCACCTTTGTCCCTGTTCTTTCATGGGTGGGGGTGCTCTCCTGACCATTTAAGCTACTCTTTAGGATGAGAAAGTTAGAGTGGAGGAGTGTCCCTGTGAGGAATCTAAACAAAGTGTCCTTTCTGAATTCATTGGACGCTTCTACAGGTTCCCATTCACTTGGTGCTTCTTAGCCCATATTCACAAATATTTGAAGAAGAAAATTACTTGTTGCCAGTAATTGCACCACTTGAAGAGATACATCTATAAATATGTACACCATGAATCAGCACACCTTAAAAAGTTTTTCCATTTAAAAATGACATTTGAGATGGGATCCTGCAGATTAAAGAAAAAGCAGGAACCTGTGGGTTAAACAAAGTATGAGAGTTGTTTTTTCTTCACCCCTTAGTTTCTAATGTTGTATAATATGATAATGTTTGTTGCGAGTCTGCAAGATTACATTGCACGTGTGTGCTGTGAGACTTCTAACTGCTGCTTCCAGCTATTTCACAAGATTATTAAGTGCTCAGAGTAAGTTTACTTTGGACGTCAGTTGTCCAGGGAGCTTTAACTGGTATGCTTTGTCACATATATTTTACAGCATGGTTCAAAGATACTGGATTACTGGGAGCCTTTTCCACAAACCGCTGTCCCATTTCCTTGGTTCAATGTGTCCTAAACTACATAATGGGGAGGGGCAATCATTTATCTTCCTCATTTTCTCTACAGTTACACTCACACAGGGATGAAACATTATATTCCATGTGTCCTACTGCATTTTATAACTAGTCTGTAAAAA